ACCCGCAGCGGATGCAAGTTTTTGTTTTGTGCGTTGGCCTTGCTTACAGATTGCAGGGGAGAGGATGACCATGTGCCTTTGCAGAGAAAAGCACACGACAGTTTGAGATATGGCTTAGCGGTGTCAACGGTGAAGACCAAGAAGGGGAGCGCGGCCAAGCCCAGGACCCGGCACAGCTCACATTGACTTTAACGTCTTCGGATCATGCTGCGGGGTTTCGGGAGCCACCGGAGACCGGGATGTTTCCTCAGGGAGACAGGCAGCCAGCTTCTTCAGGCGGATAAGAGCACTCGCAGTTAGCAGGCGGTGCTGCTTTCCTCGATGATCTGAGGCAGCTTCAAGACAGTCATTACGAGGGTGACTGGGAGAGGCTTTAACAGCTGCGACGCCTTCCAGGAGCCATCCCCAGTTTGGCACCAGCCCCTGTTGGCATTAACTACAGCAGGGTGACTGCTGGCTTTGAGGTCTCAGATTAAAGCTTGAGAGAAGAAACTCGAATTGTTGATTTAAAAGAAGAGATGAGGTTATTTCACATCTTTAGTGTTGAGACTTTTGAGGAGCTAATTCCAATTGTCTGATCAATGAAGCTCTTAACACTAATGCAAAGTTAGCAGCAAGATACAGAGACACATATGCAATTATTTCGGCTTAACAAGATTTATTTTTATTTAATCTGTTACAACACAATTTAGCAAGCAAGAGATGTGTTACTCACTAGTTGCTTATATTTTACACTTAATTTACATCTGCCTTCAGCTTGGCACAAAATGTAGGAAAATTGCATTTTAAAATACTTTCTTCAGTCAACAAAAGAAAACCTTCAAGATGTACCAAGTAAGCTCACACCATAAGAAATATTAATGTCCCTTGTCTCCAAATGCTTCTTATCAACAAAAACCACCAGCAGCTACTGAACTGATAATGACCAGAAACCAAGTCTTCCCCAGCTGCAGACGTGGTACAGCTCACCCCCAAACCTTGCTTTTATTCCCCAGAGGGTGGCCCAAGACAAGCTTTTCTGCTTTTAAATCTCAAAAAAAGTTCCCACCTTTGAAGGACTTGGTCACTGAAGGGCACAAATAATGCCCTGAAGAAAAGGCTCTCTGCACTTACAGGAGAAATCACTGTCAAAAGCATTTTAGCAACCTGCTCCCAGGTGCTCCGCCAGTTACTGACTCCAGCTCAGCGGTTTAACTTTAAAAGCCTCGCAACAAAGCATTATTTCTCTAAACACAAACATCTATTGAAGTCTAAGAAGTTGAGGCCTTAATAAAGTTAAAGCTACTCTCTCTGTACTTTAGAGATAATTATAGGGATAAGAATACATACATAAGCTTTATACAATCGATTTTTAACTTATCTTAATGATGATACATTAAAAAGCTAGGAAGGAACAGGTTCACACTGAGCAGGCAAGGCAGTAAAGGAAACATAAAACTGTCACGAAAGCTTCAGCAGATCTTCAGTGATCTGGCTGCAGCCCCTGGGGTGCAGGCTGCCAGCTCCCCCTGCACCAGCATGCACATTTGCTGGTCCACATCCCCAACCCCGCAGCCAAAACAGATTTGCTCCCTGAACTGATCCACCACATGGTTACGTGAACACTAGAGCTGGACCAACAGACAGGCTGCAGCCAGGGAAAGCCAGTGCAGACCAGTTAGAAAAGTAAATTGTTTAGTCATTGTTAGGGTATAGTTGTTAGAGAGAGATTTTTCCCAAGCACGCAAACACACATACAACTCTTCTTTCAGTACGGGGCAAATCAGTCTTGCCCTTGCTGCTCCCGACATAATTTTGCAGATTTTTTGCAGGGTTATTTTTGAGTTTGGGGTTTTTTTGTGTTTTTTTGGTTTTGGGTTCCCCCCCCCCTTTTTTTTTTTTCCCCATATTTTATCTTCTTTCAGGTACTAAGGGTGAACCCCAGTAAGACAGCCTCTTCCACGGTTCCTGGAACAGTCTTCCAGTTAATTTGGACCCCTGTACTTTCAAGGCCAGGAGGTACTTTCCATCTGCATGTATCAAATCCTAATAAAAAAACGTAGCTCACAACGATTGATGGAAGGTACGGCAACTATTTCAACTCACCAACAACCAACCTCAAACTGAAGAAGTTAAAATTATTATGACAAAGGCTCAGTAAATAAACATCCAACTCTCTGCACCTGGTGCCCAATGGAGAGCGCGTGTTTAAAAACTCAGACATGAACATTCCTTCTTATGAGCTCCTCATGGAAACTTACAGATCAATAATTTCATTTACTAAGTACTTTGGCTCACAGTTTAGGAACTCATCACACAAAAGCATTTGGCAAACATGGAACAAAATACCATGGCTTAAAGTCTTCAGCACTGCAAAACTAGTAACCAGTTCAAGTCTTTTTATAAAGGATTTTTGGGGCAGAGAAATTTATAAAAATAAAAACCCCAAAAATCTCATGACTCTGCATTTCACCACCTCCACACAGACTGAAACATTCAAACTAGAGCACAGTGAAGCGATGCTGCTGCTCCGGCAGACGCGCTGCCTCTGGAAGGGACATCCCCACTCCTCACCTGCTCCAGCATCTTCAGGGGCCCTGGCACTACCTTGTATGGTGGCAACCAAATCCACCTGCTAACCGGTGAGAAAGCTCGCGCAGCCAAACTCCAGTTTCTGCTGAGGAGGCTGCAGGATGCAGCTGACCACGTGGCCAGGCACGGGCAGAGCCAGCACAAGGGATGGGATAGGAACATGTAGAAGCAGGAGGAAAGAAGCTGCTGAAAGGGTATCATCGACTGCAAACTGTTGCTGTGCACTCAGCATCCTGGAATATTTTGGAAAACTATATGAAACCCAGGAGCGTATGCTGTGAAAGTGAATTGCTGGATTTAAACCAATGTAGTTGCTGATGGTCTACGTACTTTAAAACAGGGAACCTGCTCATCGTCTGCTTAGCTACTCACTAGTGCAGCGTGAACAGCTCTCCCTGCAAAGATACATATTGAAATGTCTCATTACCAATTCCCACCTTTAGAACGTGCTCCTGTATCACCTCACTGTATGGAGGCACTATAGCAGTTAACATATCATGCAGGATAAAAGCAACTTTAAGAGAAACACATTGGGAAATCAGACCACAGCCAGCACCTAATGAATGTCGGAGAGTGACTTACTTAGGTCGTTGTCCATCTTGAACGCGATGTCCAGCTGCATGATGAAAAGCATGAACTGGAACCAGGGGCTCATCTCCTTGCTGGGGAGGGGAATGTGCACGGCAAACACGATATCGTTGGCTTCGATCTGCCTGCTCACCGCCTCGTCGAAGTCTTTGAGCTTCTCGCAGTGGTTGGATCCCCAGGGCATCAGCCACTTGGTTTTGTGGTGGTTTTTTCTTACATCAATGCACTTCACTGACATGTAAGGAACAGCTGTAGTGGGGCTGGGAGCTGCACATGGAAGAGAACCACATTTTTAGCATCTTTAGATATCTTATATGGTGGTTTCCGCATCAAAATATGCAGCTCCCCATTCAACTATTTGAAGGCAATTTAAAACAAATGCATCAAATGATTTTCCTTCACAGCTCCTTGATCTTGCAGTTAAGTAATTAAGTTTATTACGTCTACAGACATATTACTGACTTTGTAGTGGGATCAAATTAGGATTAGCTGAAGCAGTGGGAATCCGCCGGTTCAGTCTCAGATACCTCAGCTACACCAAAATCACACGGAAAGTTACTGGCATCTTTTTCTGGGCATACACTCTTCCAGTTTGCTCACTCAAGCAGATCCACTTGCAAAGCATGTGGATATCACAAACCTAGGCAGATGAACAAATCCTAGACCTTGTGGTCCCGCAGAGCAGGGCGAGGCTTACCACAGTGATTCAAACCACGCACAGCCACACGTTTCCTTGGGCAGGAAGGCTTTTCTCACTTCTGAACCATGCAATTCTTTTTTTGAAAACACTAGGGGAATAAAAATGCTCCCAGCACTGATAAACTGGATATTGCTGCATTAATTCTTCTTTACTTACTTTCACACCCAGAGCATGCCAAGTGAAGAAGGTGGTGCAGCCCTCCCTGTCCCACAACTGTGCCGTCTTCCCCAGGACAACCTGGCCCTCCCCAGAGGGAGGATGAGCCTCACGGCAGCGTGGCACTAGCACCACTTCCACTTCACACTCCCTCTTTACGTGGAGGTACATCCCCATCCCAACATAGCTCAAATTAGTACGGTAAGCAAAACATCTTCAGAAAACCAAGCTAAATGCAAACAAGTTTCTATCCTGTGAGGTTATCGCCCACGGGCACCATCGCCAACAGACCATTCTCATGGATTTTTGCCATCGCTGCTGGTGGCAGCAGTGCTGTTTTGAAAGAATACCAAAGCTTTTGCTGCTTCTCTAATCACACTGCTAGCAGAGCCAGTCCTACCTCCATCACACAGCTGCTGAGGGAGCATGCTCAAACAAGGGATGCAAGTTAGCCTGAATCCTTGTAAAGGGAGAGAGTAGCACCACTCGGCACCTAACCCAGCCCAGGGCCATCACCCATACCTGCCGTCTACAAACTGGCTGTGGGAGCCATCTCAGCCTCACCAAAACTCCGTATGTGGAAAACAGCAGGTAAGCTGGCCACCTCCGTGATGCTCCAAAGGTCCTTGCTCACCCACTGGTGCTAACTGTAGAGAAACATTTTGCATGAAGGTATTTCTTCCTTTTGCTGTAAGTCAGGTGTGAATTTACGACTACTACAACCAAAGATTTGTCTCTCTTTTTCCCCTAGCCACAGTTTTTTTGAGATATTCGGAGAAAAGAAGCTGAATAGAGACCTTGGCTCTGAAATACTCCCCAAACTCTGCACTGCCCCATCACCACAGGAAGCGACGAGGCTTTGTGCATGTGCACAAGATACATTATCCCGATACAATGAAAATGGGTATAACATCCCAAACGAGATAATTAAAACTATGGAAGATTATACTGCTTGGACTTTACATCGATGAGGAAACAGTCAGAAACTCTGAAGTACAAATAGGGATGGAAGCAGAAAAGAAATGCATTCCACCTTCAGCCAGAATTTCAGCATAAAACACCTTCAAATCTGAGAGAAAGAAAAGGCTTTTAAAAACTCAAATATATTTCCAACATAGTTCTTCCATGCAAAGACTTCTTATGACAGTGGTTCTGCCCTATTTCCAATATCATTTGAGGAATACATATTTTAATGCTATTTTAATGCATCACAGAACCAGCAAACCAGGGAGGTGAGCAGAACTGGAGATGCTCCAGTTCCTCATCTCTCCAGTATGATCAGAAGGGCTTCCATGGGTCAGAAAGTCCAGTGACCAGAAGGTCGATAACTCCCCTGTCCCTTATGGATCTATTCCCTTTTGTCATAGAAAGTAGTATTTTTTTGCACAACAGCCAGCTCAACACATTTTAATGCCCAATACATTTCACTGCAATTAAACCAGAACGGTCCTATTTTCTGAAGTATTACCAGGAAGGTACCACTGGACATGCTGTAATGAATTCCTTCCAGCTTCACAGCTTTTGGGAAGCAGATGGAGCAGGTTAACTCTTTCTTTTTAAGCTGTTAAAGAGTTTTACTTAGTTTCTGTTTTCACAAGAATTTGAAGAAATTAAAGTTATGTAATACAAGTTTCTTGTGAAAAACCCCAAACTATCCAGCCCTTTTAAAAATGAAAATAGGGCTTGAAATTCAAAATTTTAAGCACAAATTTAACCTAACAATGTAAAAATGCTCTAATGCAAGTGATAGGCATTGAAATGTTCCTATACTATGAGTTAAAACAGAAGTAGCATGTAGAATAACAGATATCCAGGCATATAGAATAACAGATGACTTAATATCAAAGTCTCCAGAGAAAAGTCACTGAGGCGGTCATGTAAAATTGGGGATAAGCCGGCCAGCCCGCGGGCTCCTGCGGAAGGCTATTTTCACATTGTCACCGTCCTCATTCTGACAGATGGCCCCGGACTTCCCAAACAGATCACAGCCTGCTAAAAAACTCCAGCAGCAAGCAATAACACTCTACCTATGAACTACAAGTATTTCAACGAGAGAAAAAACAAACCCAAACTGAGGAACAACCCCCCCAGCCCCGTCCGGGGCAGAGCCAGCTCAGGGTTCCCGAGCAGCGCGAGGTCTGGGCAGGCTCAGCACGCCGACATCCGCACGCGCTACACACCCAGATGATTCAGACCTGGCTCACTCGTCATTTGGACGCAGCATCACAACAGCAGCTCTATTGCTTTTTGGGATCCGAGCCAGGAACCCTGCGTAGCATCTTCACTAACGTGCCACCTCGTTAGAAAGATGACATCCGTACTCCCTTCCTACAGGCAGGGGAGAGATGACTCAACGTGCGAGTCGGGAGGAAGTTATTAAAAAGCAGTTGTTTATAAACTGCATTTTTTCCCATTTTTTGACAGCAATAAGCTTCTTCCAGCTGAAAAGTAGCAGCGATGCTGGCATAAAGGGTAGGCTAAAAGGAAAGGGATTTGCTTAAGCAGGAATACTTCCAGATTCATGCCTGCTCTCGCTATCAATCCACAGCCTTAAGTGCATCACAGATACATAGCACTGCTGCATCTCTAACCCTTGCTGTATCCAGCAGTCCAGGAACCACAGAAAGCTCATATGCTACAGCAGCCCCAAAAAAGAAAGAAACAGCAAAATAGAATAAAATAAAGCATTCAACAACCAAGCAAAAAACCTAGCTGCAAGTCCAGGATTACAGAATGCTTTAATGACTTGCCATAAGTGCATAAACCGGTGCAACGTTCTTTCATCATGCCTCGATGCAGAACCTAGTAACTGTGGCTAAAACTGCAGCTGTAAGTGAATATTAGGAATATTGTTGTGAAATAAGCCAGATATTCAGGCCAAGCTCTCAGAGCTTTAACTTTGACAGATCTTTGTGCGATTTAAAAGTAGGCATTTCTGAATTAAGAGACATTGTTAGCTCTACAGAGACAAATGTTTCTTGCTTTGATGCAACTCATTATAGCCATAAATACATGTTTTCATCACTGACTGATTATGATTTTAAATACTTGGCATGCTAACTCAAGTATCCCCTCTGCCAAAGTTACAGCTTTGAGGAGCAAGAGACAATTACTATATATATTCCTTGTCGGGAACTGCACACCAAACAAACGTCGGCACTTGGCTTGCATTACTTGTTTGGCTCCAGTCCCATTAAATTCAAGTGAGTGTTGAACCAAGTGGAAAAAAATGCTTTGTGAAACTGCAGCCAAGTCAACTAACAGCATTACAAAGTGCTATGCAAAACAAAGCTAGCATCGAGGGATTTCAGTTAAAACGTGGTGCCAAGCAGGCTGCTTTCAGTTATTCTGCCTGTGGGCTGGTAGATGGTTCAGCTTTATATATTAGATGATATATGTCAGCCTGTAAATAATTAAATAGCCGTTTGTGCATAATACAGTAGATAAGCCTCAGCCCATGCTCCAGTCTGCTCACTGTGACGAGAAGCGCTGCAGTAATGCAGGTACCATTTGGAGGGTGAGCAGGGCAACCGAGGAGCAGGGCTTTTATCAGGAGGGTTTTGCAGAAGCTGGTCAGGAGCATGGCTCTCCAGGAGCCAGCTCAACCAGGAGCCAGCCCTGTGAGCTTGGGTCGGAGCTGCCGGGGGAGCCCCCAGGAAGGTGCCCTGGCTCCAGGGGCTGCGAGCAGGCGTCGGGCTGAACCCCTCGCTCCAGGGGGTTCAACCTCAGCAGTGCTGGATGCCGAAAGCCGTAGGCACGAGGCCAGCGGAGCTGCTAGCACTGTTGGTGGATACTTCCAACCCCCCTACTTAAGAGAAAAAACTTCCCACAGACAAGTTTAGAGACAGGATGATTCACAGCAAATGCTTTCAGAGCAACAGCCATGATCTCCACGGAGTCGGTGTGCCTGCGCCCGTGGGAAGCGGGCAGGAGGTGACTGTCACCACCAGAGCCCTCCTTAGCTCCGACGGAACAAACCTTCATTAAATCTTCCTTAAAAACCCAGGCAAGCACAGACATGAAAATAAAATCAACAGAGCAACCTCTTTTGCAGTTCAGTGGTTTTCATACTAGTTTGGGGAGTGAATACAGTTTACCCTTTCTGAAGCTTGTTTGCATATATGCTATAAACACACTTGCCTTAAAGGTATGCAGCAATCGGCTGGCATAGCCAGCCCATATGCTGCTGGGGAGTGGGGAAGCCGCCTGCTCCATCTCCTCCAGAAGAGGCTTTGGAGGTGCCTGGTTCACTGCAGAAGTCCCAGAGTTATCCCAAATTACATGGGTCACAGCAGACCCTGCCGTTCCCTGCCACAGAAGCATGGCTCCTTGCAGCAGCTTCAGCCAGCGAGCCCCGGGAGAGCCAGGTGCTTTCAGCAGCATGGTCACCGCTTCCCAGGGAGGACTTCTGATGAACTTGCAAAGCCATTTCAGCTACGTCTTACAGATTGAAGCAACTCTTGCATATAATTTCCAGCAAGGCTTTCAGTGAGACTTTTCATACTGAAAGTAGCATATAGCCAATGGTACATTGGCTCAAGCATATGGATTTTCTCAAGCTATATCCCCAGAAACAGCAGCAGTTAAAAAGCAGAGAGACATTTAGTGCGGGGGGGGGCGGAATGGACAGAAGTTGAATTGCCTTCAGTTTTGAATAATCCAAAACTACTCAGTCTCACGTTGAAATTGGTAGCGGTGTTTCACCCAAAACTAAGATGATGACAGTGTTACAGAATAACTCCAAATAAGAGGAGTTGAAGGAGACATCTCAGCATACCTCACATACTGGTCAGAGAGGTCAAAGATCTTATGACCTGATTCTGCAAGAGATATCATGATTTGGTTTCTCAGCACTGGTGACCATCCTGATTGCCAAGATACAAAGGACTTCTCTCCTACATCTCAACTGGAGTCAAAATTCTTTCACTTCACATAGACTAAACAGAGTCCAAACAGAGACAAACAGCTGAAGTGATTCATCACATGGCCGAGACATGGGACACCCCGAGCCATCCAATGCTGCTTCTGCTCAGGGCCCTATATTCTCCATAGCAAAACCCTACAGTATTTGCTGAAGAAACTGAGCATCCTGCCCAAATACCCAGTGAACTGGTAAAGAGCGGGGAACTCTGAAGGATCCAGGACTGTCCGTCACTTGTGTCTTGCTTTCTTGAGCCACTGGGTTAGATCCTGGTTACCACCACACTCCCAAGTCTGGCTTTGGGAAATCCTTAGAATGGAAAGTTTTAATTCCGTTCAAGATGAGTGCAATGCTGTGGCCAACTAAATGAAATGGGGGGTGAGGGAGTTGGCAAAAGTTTTAGTTGAGACTTAACCCTCTTAGCTTGGTTACTTAAAAAGGAAAGTAAAAACCTATTCCCCCAATCAATACAAGCATAAATAGTCACAGCATCCCAACCTTGATTTTGTTAACATAGTTTTTCAAACAAAAGCTAGAGCTTCATATTACAGAATTATGCTTCCTTGGACAGCCTATTAAAAATGAAACTGTTCAAAGGGAATGGCAGTGTTTGATGCTGAGGAACCAGAGTTCCGTTGGATGGGACGGGACCTCGGGGGGTCTCTCGTCCAACCTCCTGCTCGCAGCAGGGTCAGCCAGGAGGTCAGAGGAGGGCGCCCAGGGCCTTATCCCAGCAGGTCTTGAAGGTGGTTACTGCTCCTGGGATGCTGGTGTGCTGTTCTTGCTGTCCCCTCATCCCCATTTTTATCACTTCACATACAGACTAAATATTAAGTTACTATATAGCAGTCAAAGTTGAGTAGAGATTACTGCCAGCTGGATCATGTGCACACACATGTCCCAATGACTGTATTTTCCACTTCTTCAGATTTATAGTCGCCACTTCCTTCACTCTCTCCTCCAAATGCCCTGAATCTTTGCCCTATATCAAATAGCCACATTTCATTCCTCAAAACAGTTTTTAATGCTGTTTCTACAACCCCGGAGATTGGACTGACAAAATCCTACCATTCTGTGAAATCCTACACTGGATCGAGAGAGGCATTGGGAAATCCTGCTCTCACCTGCACGGGTGAAGCCTCCCCACGCCAAGCCAGCAGCAACTGCATTTACAATCCACATGTTTGGTGACTGCATGAGAGCGTTTGCCACCAAGCACCTCGTATGGATGTGACACAACGCGACCACCAACGCAGTTCACTTTTAGTCTCGGAAAAGTCACAGATGGTTTTCCCCAGAGCTCCCCGTTCTCCTGCATGCTGTGTCCCAGGTCCTGCTCTTCCTTCACCCCTGCAGATGTTTCTGCTCTTCCCCACCCAACTCACTCCCTCCTGCTGTTGGATGCATTTACAGCTGATGCTCGGCCCTTAGGGGCCCAAAGCTTAGTTGAGGTACAATACAAAAAGAGAGAGCAAAAAACTGTAGAGTAAGGAAGCTTTTTGGTGGCAACGAACTTTTAATGAATCTTCAAACATGGGAAAAATGACATTTCACTGTCAAATTTCTATGAAAAAAAACAAAGTTAAAGACCTAATGGTTTCAAGAAAGAAGAAAATAAAGCCTACTTTCTCCGAATGACTATCAATCTTTAATAAATACCCTTTCACGTCTTTGTGCCACAAGCAAAACTTGTTCCTACCTATCTCTTGGGCTTACCGCTCCTGCAAAGCATGGTAGTGATGGTGTGTAGGGATGGGTGAGGGCAAATGGAACAGAGAGACTCATTTAGAGAAACTGCAGCACCATTTGTAGCCCACTGGACTTACCCTGAAAGATGTTAGCAAATAGCACTGAGCAGCTGTAAAACTTCTTTTTTTTAATTCTTGAAGCCCCAGTTCAAACCTTGATGGGGGTTAAGCTGGTAACACTTTAACATCTCTCTAGTACAGCAGTAAGTAGCTTTCCTTTAGTTTCAGCTATACTGTCCTTGAAGCAATCTATCTCCATTAACATGTCAGCATTCATTGCCCTTTTCTTTTCTGAGAAGAAAAGCAGAAAATAAGATCCTACCTGCAAAGGGGCTTACCTCAGGAACCACTCCTCAGAGGAAAAAAAAAAACAAAAAACAAAAAACCATCAACTGTTTCACTGTATTTAGACTTAACTCTTTAGGTAAAAAAAAAAATTTACTATTGAGATAAGTGCGCTCAATTTTTCAATATTTTAGTTTTGCAATATTACATATGCCTAGATTTGCATAAAAGCCACCATCACTCAGTTTATTAATTTCAATAAATTAAGTAGATCTTTAAAAAGTTCCTGTGATAAACCCTCAATTCTTTCCCTCTTCCCTCCTCCATACCTCCTTCAAACAAGGCATTCAGCCCAGTTACAAGAATAACATCCCCTCTCTTCTCCCACATGAATACTTACCTCTATGATATATATTTTGTACCTTCTCATCTAGAACACCTACAGCATTTCAAATTAACTACTGACCCTTGCTCTCGCACTATAAACAAGCCCTTTAGAAAATCTCAATTGCATTGTGTCTACATTGATTAAAGCTTGAATCCTACTGACCTCATGTGGTGTTAACTTCTCCCATGCACCAGGAACATTCTGCTTTTCTACTCAATTACCCCCTTCTGTGCAGAGCCATCACTACCCAATGAGCACACACAATGGACTTCTGCTTCATTACACTAACCAACAGCAGGATAGGAATAAACAAGCTAATTTATCACTGGACAGACGGGGTTTTTCCACCTAGAACAGCAAGAACCTGAATAACATTACATATACTTATTATTTATAAATATATATCTATTGCAGCATGAAAGTTTTCTTTTCTACCTCCCTCTTTCCTGACCTCGATGCTACCAGTTTAATACGTTAATGAGAGTGACCACTAACGCAGTCGTTAAATCACTATTTTTTATTACTAGTTACTATTTCACAACCTACGTGAAAGCCTTTTTCTGAACACTGAAGCAGCTTTTATATGCAGAATCACTGTACTTTTAAGTCATCTAATTCATCTTTTAAAAAACAAACAAAAACAAAAAAACCCACTACCTACTAGAAGCCCACTCCCCTTGGGAAAGGTATTTCTTTCTTATCATTTGACTTCAAGCTTTACCAAGACCATAGTCCTTTAAAGCCCCAGGGCACCATTTCCATCCTTATTTACAGTGGGAGTTGCCAGACACAGTATTGTAGCTGAACACGCTTATTTCTGTTATCTGCAACAGATTTTTTCAATGCTACTGGTTTCTCTGTCTTTTTTGTTTCAGACCATGAAAATCAATCTGTCCAAACCACCAAAGCCTAGTTTGAGAGATGCTGACCCAAGTTCGTGTTCTGCATCCAAGTCTCCTGCTTTGGATATGAAGAACAAGCCAGGACTGGACCGTGCACGTACCTCCTCTAGTGACAGCATTGGCTTGGGCAGCTCTGGCTTTTCCACCTCGTTTGGGAGGGCGATGGGAGTCCTGACCCAGTTCAGAGTACAGCTGGATGGAAGATGACATTTGGTGGCACAGACGGCAGCCCAGACCTCTGCCATCTTAATAGACAGGGGTGGGACATGAGCTGCCAGGATTTGGAGGGCCGCAACCAAGCACTACAGCCAACAGAACAGTCTTACTGTGGTTTTGAGGAATTTCTGTGCTTTCTCAGCTTCCTATAACCATGCAGTATCTAGAGATATGTATGTGTATATGTGTTGCGGGGAGTGGTTGGTTTTTTTGCTCAAGGTTTGTTCTTCAATGCTACTCTTGCAGCTTTGGGCTGTGCTAGCAGAAAAGTTGTCTGTGCAGCATGGCCTCTTTAGAGCAGCACAAACTGGAGATTTTCTTCAGTAAGTCAGGTCTCAGAGCCACAGGAGCAGCTGTGCCAAGAGCCTTTAAACCTGAAAGTGCAGTCAGGATCCCAGCTGCGGGAACAGGAGTCCCTGCAAGGCTGCTGCCACTGAAACCAACCAAAGGGCTTCTGGGGAACAATCTTGCTCTCACAGATAAGGGATTATTCCCTCAGCCCCAGGCAAGTTACAAAGCAAGAAAATCTTATGAGGCAGTGGAGTACAAGCATATTTGCTGGAGAACTGGATGAATGACCTCCATGATTCATATATGTATGCAACAGCAGCAACAAATGCAAATGAAGTGAGCATTAGCAATATGAGCTCCATAAATGCAGAAATATATATATTCAAAAATATTTTATTTAAAAGAAAAAAAAGGTAGAACTGATTTACTAATTGCCACAGACAGTTTGATCTTCTTCCAAGTTGTCCTTTATCAATTTTCGACTCAGATGCAATGCATTTCCTGCTACGCCCAGCCAAGATATTAAATCCCTGCAAACAGAGGTCTAAAATAGCAGTATGACCTGATGTTATCCAGCAGCTTTTCTCCTGAGTGACAGCCTGAAACTCTCCAAGTCGACCACTACCGATAACAAGATACCTTGAAGCCGCCAATACTCGGATATGTGAAGAATTTCATCTGCATTTGAATAGGAGGGATCAGATCCCCAGGCTGGGGCCAGCAGCAGGCAGTCCTGGGGCAGATGGACACCTTGTGCCCTTCAAAGGCTTTCCGAGGCTATCAGAGAGTTGTAACTTGGACTTCAAAGACCATAAATGTTATTTACTAACAAAAAGACTTCCTGTTTAATCGTTATCCCTTGCAAAGCGCAGAGAGACAGCACAACCACCGCTTGGTGAGTGCTCAGGTCATGTTTAAAACCAAGCATGTTTAGTTAGTATCAACACCAAAGGAAAGAGAAGCAGCAAGAGCACCGTCCTCTTCATGTAAACTACAAGGCACAGAGTTTCCCCGAAGCATTTCTCCCAAGTTAACTGCAGTTTGGAAGTGATGCAACTGTGAGAAGAGCAAAAAACTAGTTCCTCGGAGGATTTACAGCCTCACTGCCTGCTCCTCAGGCCCCCAGCACGGACGTTTCTGCCTGGGAACTCTCAGTTTCTGTCACATTTGCCCATTCAGCTACAGTTACAGCTCTTAAAAAGAAGAACTGAGCAGCCCTAAACTAAATAGACATGACCTTTCATGTCTGCTTTTTCATCGGCTCCCAGTGCTTCTGCCAAGGCTGCAGCACTAAAGGAATGTGCCTATACAGAGGAGTCTATTGGCATTCATGTCCACGGTACAGCACCGACCTATTCAGCAGAGCTTGCCCATCTTCTGGAGAGGCCAGCGACGAAAGAAAGTCAGGCACATAAAAATAGTCTTTGTCCTGGAGCCCACACTCTTCCCTAACAGGCTACATCCACATACCTTAGAAATCAGAGCATCTCTCCTGTCAAAAGATCAGTTCAGCCCTAAGAAGGTAATGAAATCCCAGGAAAGAAAATTAAATCCTGGAAACTCTCTGCTCAGGAGCCAAATCAGACATTTAGATAATGAACGGGAATTGTTGATAGCTGCTCAGCCATTTATACACATGACTCATTATCTCTCTGGGTGAGA